AAGCCCACCTGACAGGTGTCCCCTCCTGCTAGCCTTTAAAATGGCCTTGCCCCATGGGAATTTGAGTTTTCAGGGATTTCTTCACTGTGGGGCAAAAATTGGTCCAGAAGTGTGTGTGAGCAGAGGATGCCTGGCAGCCAGGGTGGCACCAGAAAAGCTGGTGGAAACTATGGAGATGGACACTAAGGTCACAATCTGAGAGGCTCAGCTTGCTGGTGAAGCTCTGGGCATGGCAGCTTTGGATGGGCATCTCCCCCAGGGACTTTCATGTTCTCCATTCCACTCGTGGGCAGCTGCTGTGCCCAGTCACCCCCTTGATGAAGACTTGAAACTTTTTTACATTTACCTTAAACTTACAGTGGCAGAAAAGGTTTATGGTCTCCTTGACCTGGACAGAGAGCAGACCTTTCCAGGGGCTGAACCTTTGGCAGCTCCAGCCCTCACAGCAAGCAGCAAAAGGTGAAATCTTCCTGAAGTGACATGGCTGTGCTTCTGTGTGTGCCTCAGCCATGCTGATACATAAGGTTTGGTGCAAACATCATGGGAGAAGTTTATAACCCCTTTAAGTCCTTGTCTTGCTCATGGATCTGGGTTTAGAGTTGGCGTGTGCATGTAATTAAACAAATAAGATGAGCTGCATAAGTGGAAGTCATGGATTTTATCAGGCCAACCACTACAGCTGGAAGAAGTAAACAAGCTTTTGAGTGCACTGACCCTCCTTCAGGTATGTGTATCTATATATAGGGCTGTCTATATATACACATTTATATATAACATGCGTGTGCATATATCTATGTATGCGTGTGTATATATATATATGCTGATAAATAGCTTGAAATTGCAGTAATGGTGTTGTGAGATCATTTCTGTTCACAGCAGACCGTGTCAGGTGTCAGTCAAGCTGGATATGGCCCCTTAAGTGCGTATGCCTCCCTGCGCCCCCGACCTTCAGCTTCCTCTGAAGGCGAAGGTCACCCTCCGGCGTGCCACCCGCTCTGCCTCCTTCCTGCCGAACCTGATCCCTTGGGCGTGCAGCCTGGCTGAGCCTGCCGGCCAGAGCTGACCCTGGTGACGGCTGAAGAGCATTTTATGAGTAGGGTTTAGAGAGAAAACAGAGATTTGCAAGAACAATAAGGGCACGTAGGTGCAGAGTTTGGGCCATGTGCTGGGCAGGGCATGTTTGTCTGATGTTGGCTTTTGTTGAAGTGAGTTTTTCCCGGTGGCTTCGGGAGATATGCAGGGAGTCTTGAGCAGCCCCAGGAGCTGAAAAAAGCAGAACATGCTTGGTGCTTGTGCTGGGGTGATGGATGGGCTGTTGCTGCAAGGTCTCCTCCTGTGCTGTGGTGCTGCGTGGCAGTTGTCTTTGTAATTGGGAAGAAATACGGCTGCCGGTGCTGGCAGGGCACCGGGCACGTGTCAGGGTTACTGCGCCGGCAGCAGGAGGCTGTGGGGCCACAATCCCCCTGCCCGTGAACCGCAGGGGATATTGTGCACAGACAAGGGCCAGCACTTCCCTGCATGCCTCGAGATGCCGTCAGGGGACTTATGGTGGTGGCAGCGCTGGGAGCCCCCTGCTGAACCCCCAGAGGCTGCTCTCTGGGGCCAAGCATGGCATGGCCACCCCGCGCAGGAGGGAAAGCAACTTACCCGCTCGGGGTGCTGCCTCCAGCCCCAAATCTTCTCCCGTGCCCCTTGCCCAGGGCTGAGGCTGGGCTGGCTGTGCAGCTGCCGGCTGTCATCCCCCCGCGGCCCCGGCCTGGGGGGCTGCAACCCAATCCCTTCCCCTTCCCCAGGGTTCCGCCGGCTCCGCCGAGCCCCGTTGTCCGGCCATGGGTGAAGCCGCTGACAAGGTATTTCTCGGCGGTAACCCGAGGCGCAGCCCCAGCGCCTCTGTCTCGGCGGAGTGGACAAGTTAATTCCCCAGATTTATGCGCCCCCCGAGCCCCAGCATCTGCTGCGGGGAGGGGCCTGAGAAACCATTACTGGTACTTGTAGCCTCGAATGGTGCATGTGACGCCTTTATTTCCAGTCTGGTGTGTACGGGAGGAGGACAGGGAAGGCTGATCTCAGCAGGCTGGTTGTAGGCACAAGGGGCTTTTCCCATACTTGTTGAGGGATTTCCCCACAGAAAGGGCTGCCACCCCACTGCATTTCTGCAGGCAAGGACTGGCAGCAGGCTTGCAGGACAATGACAGACAGCTGCTGCCCTAATGGATTAGTCTGGTCTGTTAAAACAAAATATAGTGTAAATGGTGTGGCTGGATGATGGACATTACACTGAACACAAGGGGTGGCGGGCACAGACTGGTCCCAGGTATGCCACAGCCTTTGCACAGGACCTTGAGCAACTCTCCAGCACTTAACCAGTCTTACCATCAAACAGGGCATGCCGGTGCATCTCCAGGCATGTGCAGTCACCCCT